TCCGCTGGTTATGGCAAAGTCACTACCTGGAGGAATCAGGGAATCCCTCCAGAGGAAGCCAAATCCCAAGGAGTTTTTGGTGTTACTTGGCTTGTTATATATCAGCTGTCTTCTGTTATGAAAATCATGTGTGCCTTCATAGTTTTTCCAATTGACTTTTCCCTAAGAAGGACTAACAGTGTGGACTGATCACCCTCTGGACATACACATTCCAGGTATTTGGAGAACAGCCTCAGGAAAGGCTTTCTCTGGAATCAGATATCTCCCTTTCTTCAAGGACTACAGGAAACACCACCCAGGTGGGCGCCCAACTTCCGAGGACTAACAATGATAACAGCCCACAGGCAAGTCTCTTGACTTACGGTAAATTCCACGAGGAGACACTGCCTAGGAGAGGTGGACGTTAAGTAATAGCTTTACACAGTTTAGCTCGGACCCTCCCTTTTATATACCGGGACTTCCAGGGCACAGGGCGGAGAAGAGAAAAGAGAATGGAAGAACTAGATGGGTAAGAACTTGAGAGGAACAAACTGAGATGGGGGAAGAACTAGATTGAAGGGCTAGAAGAGAGGACTAGAGGAACGAGATGGAAGATGAGGAAGAGCCCGATGGGGAAGAACAAGCTGAGGAAGAACCAGATGAGAGAGAAGGAGATGGGAGAGGAGTTGATAGGGGAAAGAACTAGATAGATGAGAACCTAGAAGGGACAGAACTAGATGAAGGAATTAAGATAGAACCTGGAGGAGACAGTAGATAAATATAGAGAGAAATCAGGCAAGAAAGGAGCTATACATGAGAGCAGAATAGAAGCTGTGCAGAGAAAGAACTATCACAGAATAATAAAGTGTATGAACTAAGGAGTTTCGTATACATAGATTCATTTCTTTTTATCAAAGATTAATTATCAGCTGGTTGTAGATTCTTCCCGGACCCTGGGAGGGGACTATTGAGGGGCTGGACCCCCCTAGTCCCCGATAATGATTCTTGAACCAGATTGTCTGAGTCCTTACTGCTCTGTGATATAGATTTATAAAATGATTTGTAACAGAATGGTGCCTGTGTCTAGTGTTTGCTCTTCTGGCACTGTGTCCTACATGGGGTTCTTTATTTGATTTTTATAACACCTACTGGAGATGGCCTCGCCTATAGATGAGGAGATGAGAGTCCGGGAAGTTCATCTGCCAACACACACAACCCTCACTGATGGAAGTCTTGCATTACTCCTCTGTTGCTGTATTCACAGTGCCTCAGAATGTCACTGCTTGCAGGGCTCGGGATATGGCTCAGAAGGTAAATATCTTAGCCAGCATGCATGAAGCCCTAGGTTCAATCCCCAGCACCCCATAAACTGGGTATGGTAGCACATGAAAGTAATCCCAGAGCTTGAACAACAGAGACAGAAGGAGCAGGAGTCCAAGGTCATCCTTATCTTCAGCTACATAATAAGTTTGAGGGCGGCCTGGAATATATGAGACCACGTCTTCATATATATGAGACCAAAACTTCATGGGTGAAAATAACAAAGTTATCCTACACAATTATGAGCATCAGGAATCCAGGATAACATAGAAGGTCAAGCCTCCCACAACATTGTAGGTTTTCTTCAGAGTCCACAGGTGTTGTAGGATTTGCTGGCCAGCAGGCTCTTCATGGAGTAGTGTGCAGAAGCCTCATTTTTTTTGCCAGGCAGACCCTCCACGGGCTGTTCCCCAGTCTTCACTTCATGGACGCTGGATTCCCTAGGCACATGATCGATCAATCAAAGGGAGCAAGAAGGCTATGGTCCCTTCCACGACCTCCCTGGAAGCGCACATAACCACTGGCAGTGTCTAGCTATAGATTCAGGTCAGCCCCGTTCCATGTAGGCTGGACCAGCCTGGGCACAGAAAGCCAGTGACAGGTCAGTCTGTCATGGCCTCTTCTCTTAGTCACCAGGTGCAGGTGTCCCTGGTGCTCCTAGGGCCAGGCCTTACCAGGACACCAGTGCAGAGTCCCCCAGAACAGGCAACAGCAGCTCCCAGAGCCGCCTGCAGAAGGTAATGTGTTCACAGCTTGCGCAAGTTCCCCTCATGAGCAAACCCCTGCCAGCCAGATCCATGTTGTGCTTCAATCAAGTGAGAAGGTGTGACCCAGGCGCCCCCAGCAGCTTGTGCTCATTAAGCTGGAGGTGCAAAGGACTAAGTGGGAGGGGCTGAGTCCCCTTCCAAGATGCTACAGCTATGAGATTTTCTTTTCTGGGAAGGGCAGGTATATGTATGTGGGGGGACAGCAGGTGTCTGGAGTATGGAGGCACGTGATATGGGGAAATGTCTGAGGTCTGGTGTCTGAGGTGTGAGGGGTGCTGTAGAACGTACAGAGTCATCTTGACCACCTGAACCCAAGGTGAAAAAAGAGGCTGCATCTTGAGTTGAACTGAAAATGTCACGGGGGATGGTTCGGCCACCTCCTCGGGGGCGGGGAGGGGGCAGGTGGGAACTGGCTTCCTGCCCAAGGCTGCAGGTGCTGCTGTCTGGCTTCCCCCATTTATCTCACAGCTGTGGGTAGGTACCTGCCCTGAACCACTGTGGGGAGCCGGTGACAGAGATGACACTTTTCAGCAGCAGTAAGTGTTCTGGTTTCTTGTGATCACAGCCTCCCTGGGGCAGGGGGTGGGGGGGCAATTGCTACATTCCCCACTCATTTGCTAAGTTGAAGTGGCCCTTTAATCCACTGTCCCAGGCCCTCGGTGACCTTGTCTCCTTGTCTCTGCTGGCTCTTTTGAATTTCTCTCGTGAGTTCTCTTGTTCTGTCTCTTCTACTTTCTCTTCCAGAAACCTCAAATCCTGCCTGCTGGACTCCCCCAGCAGGCCCACCCAATCTCTTCATCTTCTGTTACCACCTCAGCCTTTTGTCCAGATAGGTCCTTGTTTCCAATCCTCCAGTGGCGGACTATGCTTGGCCACTGGTCTTCCTGGCCATCAGGTCTTAGCGAAGCTCCCTGTTGCAGAATCTTGCTCTTGGTCTTGTGGGACCTTGTACCTCAGCTCTGATGACAGTGACAGGGGTTGCTTTGGAGTAGTCCTCACGTGGCCATCCCTGCTCTCCACATTTGTTTTCTGACTGTGTTATCCTACGTCTCTCATGTAAGTGGCTATCTGGCTAACTCCAAATGGCTGTTCATTCCTGACAGCTTGTGCTGCGGTCACTGAAATGCTAATCAGAAGCTCGGGCAATGGGTGGAACTGGACGCTGTCAGGCTTCCCCTGCAGAGTGACCACTGAGACTCACTCTACCACCACCATGCTTACCAGTGCCACCATCCTGTTCATACAAACAATGGGTCTCTTGTTTTTAAGTGTGTGTGTGTGTGTGTGTGTGTGTGTGTGTGTGTGTGTGTGTGTGTATGGGTGTATCCACAGAAGCAGGATCTCCCTGGAGCTAGAGTGAACAGGCAGTTGTGAACTGCCTGGTATAAGTGCTTGGAATCAAACCCAGATCTTCTGGGAGAGGGGTAGATGCTCTTGACTGCTGAGCCATCTCTCCATCCCTTCTGTCACTCGTGTTTCATTTTTGAGACAATCGTATGTAACCCAACCTTAAATTTCTAATCCTTTTGGTTCCATGTCCCAAGTGCTGGGATTATAGGCATATACCACCAAGCCTGGCTTATACAGTGCTGGGAATCAAACCCAGGGTTTATGCTAACGACTGGGCCACTCCAAACCCAAATCCAGATTCTTGACAGTCCCCGAGATCCAGGGGTTACAGAAGCTGACTCGCATCTCAAGGTCATGTCTAGGTTTCTGCTTTGGAAGTAGACATTTAAGCATAGAAGTCCTGGGGCCTAGGGTGTAAATTCCAATATAATTTCAGAAGCCGCCTGAATTGTGTATATGGCTATTGTAAAAACACTGTGTGCTCTCCTCAGAAGTCCACATCCATACTTGGGTGTATACCATCCTTGCCCTAAATCAGTTCTCCCACCAATCAGTCTGTCTGAATGTCTATGCTTAAAGCTATGCTGAAACCATGGCTTAACAACTCCAACTTTGCTTCACACTGATATCTTGAAAGTCAAGAATCCCCATTTGACTGATGTGGAGGTCTGTGAAGCTTCTTGGGCTGCTGCAGGTTGTGGAGCTGTGTCTCTGGCTTTTCTGCCACTGACAAATGGACTCGGTGTCTAACATTCAATGTTTTCCTTTACAGTACAGAAAGTGTAAGATTCTACCCTAAAGCTGGCTGCGGTGGCACAGACCTGTAATCCCATTATTCAAGAGGCTGAGGCAGGGGGATTGCCATGAGTTTGATGCCAGCCTATGCTATAGAGCGAGACTTTGTCTCAAAATAAAGAACAAAAGAAGACCCTGCCACAGTTCCTGTGAGGAGGAATTCTCACACAATGTGTCACAGATTTAAAAATCACCTTTAACATGCAGACTCCCAGCTGCAAGCCAGGGAGGCCCTCTTCAGGGACCAAGGGATCCACTAATATTCTATTTGAAGAAGATGTTGTCCATAGTTGTATAGTCCCTCCTGCGCGGCGACAATGGTGCCTATTAAAATGAACATTGAGGGCTGAGAATATAGCTCAGAGTTGTTGGAGTGCATGTGTGAAGACCTGGGTTTGATCCTCAGCACTATATAAGCCAGATGTGGTGAGACAAGCCTGTCATTAATCAGCACTCAAGGGGTAGAGGTAGGTCATCCTTGGCTACATAATGAGTTCAAAGCCAGCTTGGGCTACATGAGACCCTGTCTTTAAAAACAAAAAAAAGTTAAAGCTGACGCAATGCAAGCAACCCACAGCACTTAATCTATCAGGACAATGGATCCAGAGGTCTGGTGACGACTTTCAGGCACCTGAAGACCACCCTTTGGCAGTCCTGCACAGACCAGTCTCGGTATGTGAATAAGCCGGAACGCTCGAGTCCGGAACTCATTACCCAGGCTATGCACACAGGGACAGATTAGGGAGACGGACACATTTCGCCTGCGGACATTTTTAGGTGTAGGACTCATTCCGGCCTGATCCACCCACCTGCCTTCTCAGGCCTGTGCCCCACCCCCAGTGACCCCCATCTGACCCCAGGTGAGCGCGTTGCAGAGAACAAGAAAGGGGGTGTCGAGGTGAGCTGGAGCTGATCAGGGGATAGTGGGAGCTGTTGGGCAGCTGTCTGTCATCGCGCGCGCGCGAAACTTCTGCTGTATGTTAAACTCATGCCCTTCTCCCAGAGCTGAAGTCATAGCGGAGCTTCTCCCTTTGATTTGTTCCACGTGGAATGCAAGTTCCCAGAGGCCTGGCTCCGAAAGGCAAATGGGTCCCCAAAGCAGACTATGGCAGCGTGGGCAGGACAAGTGTGCCTTCAAGGAAGGGCTGCTGGACTTGGAAGCGGGACGGGGAATTTCTCTAAAAGAGAAGTTGTTTTGATTTTCATCCTGGGAGGGACTTGTTTGTGGCCGACCACTAAGACTTGTGGGAGGCTCCAGATGTTGCTACAGGAGCACAGGTGAGCCTGTGCTGTCCCTCAAGGGAGTAACTGAAAACGTGAATGTTCTAAGTGTTCTCCCCAAGGCCGACGTGATTATTGTGAAACAGGTCTCCCTGCTGTTCTTGGACTTGAGATGGATGTAAACATACCTTTCCATGGCTTCATTTTGAAATTTTAGGGACAGGGTCTCATGTTTCCAAGCTGGCCTTGAACTTACTATTTAGCCAAGAGTAACCTTCAACTTCTGAACCTCCTGCCTCCACTTTGCCCGTTTTAGGTGGTACTGGGGAATGAGGGCTTCCTGCATTTGAGGCAAAAGCACTTAGCAATACACCCCCAGCTCCCAGATGTCTTTTTAAAATGATAGTTTATTATGTAGAATGGATATAGGTTTTAACATCTTTTTTCCTTTTGGAATTTTTTGTTTGTTTGTTTTTTGTTTTAATTTGTGAGTGCTACTTTAAAATTGTAGTTTTGACAGTTCCTAAGCCACAGGTATGACATGGCATTCTCTGGCATCCCTGGACCTGCAGGGGGTGAGAGGACCATGCACAGCCAGATGCTGTCAATAGACAGACTGTTTTGCTCTGAAGAGCTGGCTCTGATGGGATGAGCTGGAAGTGAGCTCAGCACTGACAGATGTATATATAAGTGCTTGGACCAGGTTCGTGCTTGAAGACCAAAGCAGCTTTGGAGGTCTGGACTGGTCCCATTTCCACATGTGGGAGAGTAAGGCAATGCCTCAGAGTGGACATGGTCGAACTTATAAGGATTGAAGGTGGTCCAGCAATGCCTCCCAGCATGTGTACAGCTGTCCATACAGGATTCAGTTTGCCCTTACCCTCTGCCATCCTCCCTGACTGACCACCCCAGGGTCAGTGTCTCCTCCTCATGGCTGTCACTGTTCTTCCTGCTGTGGGCATCTTCTCACAGCATTGGGGCCCCATGGGAACTGTAAGTCTGTTCCACAAGGAACCTGCTTTGACACCTCAGTGTCTGTGCATGGTAGGAATGCCACCAACCTTCAGGGCTGAGGACTCTGCCCCAGAGGGCAGTGGTGTTTCCTTCAGCAGTGCTATAAGTAGGGTCCATACAGAGATCTGCAGCTGCATAACCAACTGCCTGCTCTGGATCTTGTGGCCATGCTACTATGTTGCTTTTCCTGGTTAGCCGTGTTGACTCAGCCCTACCACCTCACATGACATGGTGGTGTCAAAAGCGGGGTACACAGAGATTAGTGGAAGCCAGCACCCTGTTGGACATGCATATTTGAATGTCTGTGCACGATCTCCTTAGGCTTTTTCTGAGGACCATTGGTTAGTTTCAGTTTAACTAATTACCACTTTGTGTGAGCATCCTATGTGCACATCTTTTCGCACTAAGGTCATAGTGTTAACATGGGGGGAAAGGATTTTAAGTATTGGTGCTACCGCTGAGAGGGCTTCTCTCTCATGACTCAAGTTCTTGGTCTCCCCAGGTCTAGAGGCCTAGATCAAGACTGCTCTCCCATGGCCCTGTGTGTTGTTCCTGTGTGCCATAGTCTCTCGGGGCAGCTCTTCATCAGGAACCCGGTCCTCGGGGTTCCTTTGTACAGCTTCGGGATGCTGATGAGCTCCCACACCTGGGTGAAGGGCAGGTACTACTTCCCTAGTGCTCCACTCTCCAGGTGCTTCAGGAGAGTTGTACCATTTTGGAGGCTGTGGTGTAGAATTGTGGGGGAGGCTCCTGGTGTCTCTCACACAGCAGGTCTTCTGTTTGGGTTTCTCTGTTTTCTGTTCCCTTGTGCAGAGACAATAGCCGAATACCAAATGTCTTGTCCTTCCCATTCATCCAGAGCATTCTGAGACATCTCACACTCTAACCCACAGGAATCTGGCCACAAGTCTTTAATTCTGAAATTCCACACAGTAGGTCTGCTCTTTGAGTTTCTCTTGGTTTTGGCATCTCCGACTGTAAAACAGATAGAGGGGAATTTGTTGGAGTGAGAATTAAAGCTCCCTAATTTACTTTATGCTCCCTGACTTCTGGAAGCCCACATGGCTGTCAAGTCCTTGGCTTCTCTTCCCTAGCCCTGTGGAGGTGGAAATCCAGGGTGTGAACAGGCCAGGAGCTCTGAGCCCTTGTGGAGTAGCGCTGAGAGCAGCTCTGGACCCTCGCCGCCTCGTCTAGACCGCAGGTGTTCTCCAGGGGCCAGTGTGCTTGAGAACTGACATGTGCAGAGCCGGTGTGCACAGGGCCTCCAAGCAGCCATGAGCTAGACTCCTGCACAGAGGAGGGAGGCCGAGTCTCCCTGCTCTCTTGACCAGAGTGCCTGGCTAGAGAAGCTATCTAACCCCAGCAAGGAGCCAGGGAAACAAAGTCATACCCAAAGATCTCGAGCACAGAACAAAATTTAGTTCTAGGAGTATTTATTGATGGAGAATTTGTTTTGTTAGATAAATTATTTAAGTATTAAGAAAACAAAGCTGTCCCAGTGTGGTGACAACATACCTTTAATCCCAGCACTCTGGAGACAGAGGCAGAGGCAGCAGATCTGAGTTTGAGGCCAGCCTGGCCTACTGAGAGAGTTCCAGGACAGCTAGAGCTACATAGTGAAACTCTGTCTAAAAAAAAAATGGGCCAGGTGGTGGTGGGGCACGCCCTTAATCCCAGCACTTGGGAGGCAGAGCCAGGCCGATCTCTGTGAGTTTGAGGCCAGCCTACAGAGTGAGATCCAGGACAGGCACCAGAACTACACAGAGAAACCCTGTCTCAGAAAAAACAAACAACAAAGCTGCTTTTGGTACCGGTAGCAGATAATGATGTGTTGGTTTGCCCTGGCAAGTTAATGAAGGGGAAGTTTTCAGAGTATGTGTCAGAGAGAGCATGCTAATGGAGACAGGCCTCACAGAGGGAATGTTACATGAGGTCGTGCTGTGAGATGTGGAGGGAACAGAAGGGAGGTGGGGCGAGGTATGGTCAGTCTTGCCTTTGTCCTTCTCCTGGGCCTTCTAGGATAGTTCGGGCCTCCAGCTTTCACCCCAGAGAGTGCCAGCTGTTATGTCTATGGGGAAATGTTAGACACGTGGCCTGGGAAGGTGGCAGAGGTCTCCTCAGCAAGTGTCTTTATTGACCTCTAGCATTGAGTAGTGTCTAACATTCCAGCACTTAGTGCCTCTGTAAGAACAGGTCGCAACACCGTCAGCTCACCGTAAATTCAGTGCTGAGTCACTTCCTCCAGCTCAGTTGCTCCTGCCAAAGCAGGTGTGGCCTCTTGTCTCATAACTGTGACTGGGGAGGCTGTTCTGATGAAAGCCACAGTAATTGCTGGGTAGGTGTAGCAGAAGCCAGAGAACCTCAGTGGAGAGTGATGTGTTCTAACCGCCGGAGGCCAAATGGACTGGGGATGGGGACTATCTTCTCGCTGCCAGGGAGCCTAGGCAGGGACGACATGTGACATGAGGGTTATAGAACCAAAGGAAGGGATCTTGCTAGCTAGCACTGGGAAGCAGATCTGGAATATTGGGTGGCCTCTGGACCTGTTAGATGCCATATGCAGAGCCAGTGTGGAAGTATGATGACCCCTCTGTGTTGTCCTGGAATGGACTTCAGGGTCCCCAGAGGAGCATCCCAACAGAACTAAGCAGTGACATCTCCCCTCTCCCTGAGCACACTTCCTCTGCTTATTTCAGTTGTAATTTAGTAGTTGTTTTTGAGAAGACAGACTTTCAACCTAAAGCGGGGAGAAAAGAAACAAACTGATGCTCCCTGGCCTGTGACCTTGCCTTCCTAAAGCCCTGCTGGGTTGCATTTCCTGAATGGCTACCCTTTGGGGTGTGCTGTCGAGAAGTGGCAAGGCTGTGTACCAGGCTTTTTCTTTTGGGCCACCAACCCACTCTCAAATCATGACATGGGGACTTCATATTAGTTAAGAATGCTCGGCCTTAGCTTTTTTTTTTTTTTTTTTTTTTTTTTTTTTTGGTTTTTCGAGACAGGGTTTCTCTGTGTAGCTTTGCGCCTTTTCTGGAACTCACTCTGTAGCCCAGGCTGGCCTCGAACTCACAGAGATTCGCCTGCCTCTGCCTTCCGAGTGCTGGGATTAAAGGCGTGCACCACCACCGCCCGGCCCTTAGCTCTTATTTTAATCTGTTTCTCTTTATCTACATTTTGTGTTGGGGCTTTTTTACCTTTCTTTCTGAATGTCCTACTTTTCTGCTTCTCATGTCTGTCTGTCTGTCGGCTGCCTGGCTTCTGGCTCCAGGCACGTCCCTCTCTTTCTCCCTCATTCTCATCTCTCCAGCCTAGATTCCTCCTCCTACTTAGTCTCTCTGCCCACTAGCCCCACCTCTCCCTCTCCTGCCTACCTATTGGCCATTCACCTTTTTATTAGACCAATCAGATGCCTTAGGCAGACAAAATGAAACAGCATCACAATTTTACATAATTAAACAAAGGCAGCAGAAACAAATGTAACACACCTTCACACAGTTAAAGTAACATTCCTCAGCAGAAACAAATGTAACACACCTTTACACAGTTACAGTAACATTCCTCAGCAGAAACAAATGTAACACACCTTTACACAGTTACAGTAACATTCCTCAGCAGAAACAAATGTAACACACCTTCACACAGTTAAAGTAACATTCCTCAGCAGAAACAAATGTACACACCTTTACACAGTTGCAGTAACATTCCTCAGCAGAAACAAATGTACACCTTTACATAGTTAAATATTCATTCCACAAGGGTGCCTTTTGAGTCCCTGTGATAACTGCTTCTACTGACTAGTGATTTTCCAGGCTCAAAATTCCCAAATCTCCTATTCAGGATTTACCTTAAGTATATTTTATTTTGTTTTCCTAACTTAAAATTATTTGGGAATTTTGCATGTTTTTGAAATCTTTAAAGAAACTAAATAAAAAGCTAGACACTTTTTAAAGATGTTGTATGATTAAGAGTGTTAGCTTCTCTGTTTAGGGGGTGGTATGTTAAGAGTTTCTGCAGCCTTTTGGGGTGTTTGGAGGGTATATTTTAAACCTTGCTGTGGGCAAGGTTTGGGTGACCCAAGCAAACACTCACACATTGCACTCTCCTCCCCAGCCCAGCCAGTGGTTTGTTGGTGTGATGCCACCCCTCTTGACACTACCCTTCAGGCGTCTCATCTGGTCCTTGGCCTCCAGTCAGCTGGCTCCCAGAAGACACAGAGGACATAGCCTCCTGCATACAGCTCCAGAGGCCTGCACAGATGGGAATGCCCCAGTGTTCATCCGCGCCCTGGCCTTTGGGGACAGGATTGCCCTTATTGACAAACATGGCCGTCACACCTACAGGGAGCTTTATGACCGCAGCCTTTGCCTGGCCCAGGAGATCTGCAGGCTTCGGGGTTGTAAGGTTGGGGACCTCCCGGAGGAGAGGATTTCCTTCCTGTGCTCCAATGATGTCTCCTATGTTGTAGCTCAGTGGGCCTCCTGGATGAGTGGTGGTGTTGCCGTCCCACTCTACTGGAAGCACCCTGAGGCCCAGCTGGAGTATTTCATCCAGGACTCCCGGAGCTCTGTGCTCGTGGTTGGCCAGGAGTACCTGGAGCGGCTAAGGCCAGTGGCCCAGAGGCTGGGAGTCCCTCTTCTGCCCCTCACGCCTGCCATCTACCATGGAGCAGCAGAGCAGCCCATAGAGCAGCTGGTCCAAGAGAGGGATTGGCATGACCGGGGTGCTATGATCTTCTACACCAGTGGGACCACAGGGAAGCCCAAGGGTGCACTGAGCACCCACCGTAACATAGCAGCCGTGGTGAGTGCTGGGTGTGTTCCAGAGGCCTCTGCTTCTTCCCCTCTCACTATCCCAGCCACCACTGAGTAGGACCCAGACACGCTTTGCTGAATGACCACCAAGACTGTAGAGTCGCATAGTCAGGCTGTGTGATTAGGTTGGGATTTGTAAGAGCACCCTAGAAAGAGGAGCAGCTCCTGTGTCGGCTCCTGCCTTGTGCATTACCTTGTATTCAGTCACTTCCGGAACCACCTTGGCAAACCCATCAGTCTCTCACTCCTTGTCTGACTCTGCTCACTTTCTGAAAAGTTTGTGTATGTACAGTGAAGTCTTCTGTAGAGTAGAGGCAATAAAGTAAAATGAAAGCCAACACAAAGGAAGGCAGCAAGTGAACCTGGGCTGTTGTGAGACCAGCATCCTCACATGGATGGTCCAGGGAACAGGAAGGAGCCTTGTCCACATGGCTTCTCAGTGAGAGCTGAGGATACCCCTGGACATCTGCCTTGTGACTCCTGTTACAGCTGAGTGGTACAGGGACCACAGGTAGGCAGCTATTCTAGGCTGGTGCAGGTTCAAACCTGAACTCTGCTGCAATCTGTCCTTTGCAGGGGACCATGCTGTGGGCAGCAGTACCAAAAATCCCACCTCTGCCTTCCACAGTTTTTGCAGAGCCTGTTCTGTTCCTAGGCTTTCTAGGGTCTCTGCAGTCTCCAGTTAGGTGTCCGTGTTCCCTTCACACGATAAGTGGGAGGACCCAGTTACTTTCCTTCTTCAGGAGCCACTGAGAGGAAGGAGCGAAGAATCATCTTTATTCTCCCTTCTCTCTCTCTCGGGATCCCCTGGACCACTTGTCTACCTGTGCCACGCCCGCACCCCCTCATCCCTGTTCTTAGGCAGTGCTATTTCCCCACAGGTGACTGGGCTGGTCCATTCATGGGCATGGACAAAACATGACGCGATCCTTCATGTCCTCCCTCTGCACCATGTCCACGGCGTGGTCAACAAGCTGCTCTGTCCGCTCTGGGTAGGGGCCACTTGTGTGATGCTGCCGGAGTTCAGTGCTCAGCAGGTGAGTCATGACCCAGGGTTCTTAGCAGCCCAGTGACTCTACAGGCTGGAGGGTTAGAACAGCGTACATTTATTCTCCTAGCTGCCTGGTAGAGCCAAAACCAAGGTATTGGAGGGAGTTCCATCGGAAGGTTCATGGAGGTCTCTGCATCTTTCTTTTTGTGGCTTCTGGAGGCACCTGCTCCTGGGCCTGAGGCTGCATCTCCCCATTCAGTGCACCCAACTCTAGTAGTCACCTCTCCTTCATGTCCCCAAATCACTGTGTGTTTAATCAGCATCCTTTCCCTGTGTCTAAACCCATGGCTTGATGCCCTCTACAAGCTCAGGGAACAGGACATGAGAAGCAAGCTGTCCCCTGTCACATCTTCTCTGGTTCCACTGCAGAGGAACTCCTGCTGGAGGACCCACGGGAGTCACTGTGCTCCCCCCTTTTCCAGCAGACAGGCATCAGGGACATGGTGTTGGCCCTGTGGAGGGGAAATGACAGTGAGGCCATCATCACTGAGAGTGGCAGTGTCTCCAGAGGAACAGCTCAAGAACACTGCATTAGAACAGGCTGGGCTCACACTGTTAGTGACTTCTACTCTGGGAACAGGAAGGAGCAAGTCTTCACCTTTGTTCTGACTCTTGGGACCTTTGCCTGTCAGTGTAAGATACCAGAACCTCTGGTCAGTCTCTGCAAGGTGAAGATTGTTGGGAATTGGAGGATTGTGTGAGGAATTGACTTTTTGACAATCTGGAATTTTTAATTCATGAGCCAGACTCTGCCCTTGCCTGTGATGATAACATGATACTATTCAGTCCTGTCCTGCATACCTTATACTGATTATATTGAAATAAAAACCCAACTGGTGAGAAATTTAAATGCTTTTATATGAAATCTGATTAGAAATTTATTAAGGGGTAAAGTGGCAAAGTTCATGTGAAGCTTTTTGGATAAGACAACAGACCTGCCTCCTACCTGTGTTGAGCACTGTCCAGATTCCCAAGGCTGCCCCACTGTGTGGCTGCAGTTGAGCTAAGGTTGCTTCTGACTGCAGTTGCTTCTGGAATGTTCCTCCTCATAGGCCAGACACAATGTCCCATGGAATGTTTTCAGTGTTACAGGAGTCCCTCTGAACTGGAGGCCACTGATGGCCACATTCATCCCACCCAGGAAACAGCTTCCGTCAGTAGGAGAGACCTGGGATGGAGACAGGAGGCAGCTGTGCTGTCTTCCAGCTGCTGAATGCCACTTCCCGTTTCCCTCTAGGTTTGGGAAAAGTTCTTGAGTTCAGAAGCTCCACGGATTAATGTGTTTATGGCAGTGCCCACGATCTACAGCAAACTGCTGGATTACTATGACAAGCATTTCACACAGCCCCGTGTCCAGGATTTCGTGCGTGCAGTTTGTGAAGAAAAAATCAGGTGGGTGGAAAGAGCCCATATTTCCGCGCCCCCCCCCCCCCCCCCCGCCCCATGAAGCTTGGTAGTCAGCAGGCATAACTCATTCTTAGTGTCTGCTCAGTTCTCTCCCTTTAAATGGTGGCTCTGTGCATACGTGTGTGTCCTCTGCCTGGATTCATTCTCTCTCTCTCTCTCTCTCTCTCTCTCTCTCTCTCTCTGCCCCCCCCCCCGTCGTCTGCACCCCCATGTCTGTCTACCCCTGGTACCTCTGTCTCTTACGTCTGTCAGCTTCTCTGCCTGTGGAAGGCTGAGGACTGAACCAGCCTCTTCCCTGGTCCTCTCTGACTTGGCTCTGAGACCTCCCCTTACTCTGTACCTGCTGCTGACCTCCTGTCTCCTCACAGCCATGAGCTGAGGCCTGTGGGCTGTTCAGTGGTGTGAAGTTGCCCTTCTCTCTTCTGTGAGCGACGGATATCATTTCTTTCCCAGCTTTATGTCGAAATAATGATTTGCTCACTAGAAGTGGTCATAGTGTGGCTTACTTGATCATCACACACAGACCAGATCCACATTTCCAGCAGGTGTGGGCTAGGGCGCTTCTCTTCTGCCAGAGGAACAAGGATGTGGCACATGGGAAGGGGACTGAAGCTGGCCGACAGGCTTGCAGGGACAACTCTGATTTAAAACTCCAAGCTGAGTTAGGACAGGGCCTGGCCCTGATGTGTCTGCCGCCGGCTCCAGCTCAGGCTGTTGACCAGGAAGTGGTCCTATCTTACTTTGGAGATGAAAGAATCCTCACATGGCATCAATTTTTAACAGACGCTCACTGATGCTATATTCCCTCCCAACCTTCCGAATCCTCACTCTACTCACTCTTAAGGAAAGTATTAAATCCTGAATTAGAAGAAAGAAAGAAAGGAAGAAAGGAAGAAAGGAAGAAAGGAAGAAAGAAAGAAAGAAAGAAAGAAAGAAAGAAAGAAAGAAAGAAAGAAAACTCCAAGCACGACTTATGTGGGTACCCAGCAGCCACTGTTTCTGCCACACATCTGGGCTCAGGAAGCAGTGCCTTGTATCCCTAAGAGACTTATGGATTATCTGAGACAAATGTGATAGCATTGCATTTTTGCTCTGCTCTTATGCTCCCTTTCCAAATAGATGCTTTGAGGAAATCAGAGCCCTGCTTCAGATGGTGCTGCTAATGGCTGCCTCTCTGGGCCCCTACCCAGGCCTGTCAGCTGAAGCACTCGGGGGCACCCAGTGCTCAGGAACCAGAGCTAGGGAAGGATCAGTAGATCCCACCAACCCCAAAGAACCACAGGCACAGTTGCTGTTTCTGAAATACAGAATCCTCAGCAGACGAATGAGACCGTCGGGGCTCTTGTTGGCCATACACCTCTGGAGGAGGATGGGGCCGGTTCCTGCTTCAGTTTAGATGACACACAAAGGACCTTCCTCTCTGCAAGTGGCAGGCATGGGGTTGTAGCAGAAAGCGGCTCAGGGACGTGAGCACCACCCACTGTCTCTGCCATTGTCGCCTCCGGTTGCCGGTCCCGTCCCCCCCCCTCCCCCCCCCCCCCCCGACTCCCGTGTGCCTTCCAGCTTCAGCAGCTCTGCTCACACAGCACCTGCCTCCTGCAACGTTGTGGCCTTTCTTCCATGAGGCACACAACCATTGCCTCCATCCTGTCCTGATCACTTGTTTAGGGCTGTTGGTGAGTATTATTTGTGGTTATCACCAAAGATGCTGCTTTAGCTAACATCCCTTTGAAAGACCTGCTTGAATTTACTGAAAAGAAACTTTTTTAAAAACTCACCTTTATCATGAATGTTGAGTACAGAGATGGGAGAGGACCATCCCACGCACCTGTTCTGCGCACTCACAAGGAAGTGTGCTATGAGCTGCCCCCATCAGAGCTAAGCCCCTGTGGTTGTGCTGCCTAGGCTGATGGTGTCAGGCTCGGCTGCCCTGCCTGTCCCCCTGCTGGAGAAGTGGAAGAATGCCACGGGCCACACGCTACTGGAGCGCTATGGTATGACGGAGATTGGCATGGCCCTGTCCAACCCCCTGACGGAGGCTCGCCTGCCAGGTACCGGCTGCCCCACAGCTGTCCCCTTCCATTCCCAGTGCCCTACATGTGACTCCCGGTCCACCTGCACTTTGATGAGAGGGACACAGAGGACACTGTCCTCTGCAGCAGACTACAGGGCCAGAAGCACCTCCTCAAGGTGACAGCCGCCCTCTCCCCTTGTCCCCTTTCAACCACAGAGCAGAGGCCACAGTTTCATGGGTCCTCACTGCATTTTGAAATGATTAACGATGCCACACATGGTCACCCTGATTTTTAAAGTCTTAGAACCCCAAAGTCAGAGCAGGAAGGATGCTGCTTAGCTGTCTCACTGTGGTGGTGACTCACTCTAGAGGTGAGGCCTAGGCACCTCCACACCTGGAGCCGAGAATGCCCTAGAGCAGCTGCTCCATTTCCATGCCTCCTGACCCTCTGCGTGGAACCCCAGCCATGGAGGATCCTACCTAAAGCAGGGACAGTGCAATCACCTCACTAGGAAGCTGAACCCAGGATGCAAAGTGTGTGTGTGTGTGTGTGTGTGTGTGTGGTTCACTGAGTTGCCACTTGGAAAACTTGTCCTGTTACAGACTCCCATTAACTACAGTGCTTAAAATAAAGACCCTGAAACTATAAAATGAATTCTCAGGAGAAAGGTGTGTTTGGACATTGGCCTCATTCCTGGGTGTGTTGACCTGTCTGCTCTCCACTCTGTTCCTGCTGTTCATGTGTTGGCACCAAGGCATGTGAGCTCAGGCCCCCAAGCCAACAGCTGAGTGATGCTTCAACACAGGGCATTGTCCAGAAGTGTGGGGGCTTCTGGACACATCCCTACCAGCCAGATTCTGTCTCACCCTTGCAGGAGGAAGTGTAATTTAAAAAAAAAAATGGGCAGCCCAGTTTACAGAGAACCCCACCCGCTTCCACCTCAGCCCTTTCTGGGACACACCAGTGGCCTGCGTTAGTCAGTTCCTGCACATCCAGCCGGGTGGCCCGCTCTCCTTGACCAGGCAGGAGCAGTGAAGAACCCACCATGGCAGCTGCACCAGCAGCTACTACCATAGTGTCAGTGAGATTTGGGCAGGCCTTTGGCTGGCTGCTCACATGCACCGTTTGCCACTGTTTGCCACCCTCCCCACGTCTTTCCTTGCAGTCACCAAGCACGTGAGCCACTCCTGATAGTGATCCCAGTGTCCCATATACACGAGGAAGCATGTCCCAAACCCAGGAGTGCAACTATCCAATTCCTACCTTCCTTTTCATTTTTTACAGGTTCTGTGGGAACCCCACTGCCAGGAGTGGAAGTACGCATCGTCTCAGAAAACCCGCAGAAGGGTTCTCCCTACTTCATCCATGCAGAGGGAAATGAGAAGGAGACAAAGGTGAGGCCATCTTTTAGAGGGTTCTTCCCTGCCGTACTGGGGGGCAGCCTTGGACAGTAGAGATGCTGAAGGCTGTGACTGGGGTTATAGGCTAACATGTCTGCCTCACCCATGAGGGTCTTCCAGTACCCTCCCAGGAGGGAGCTCAGCCTGCATGTGCCTTGCTCCTGATTGCTGGTTCCAGCTCCTCCGCATAGCTCTGTCCCTGGGGGACATCCAGAGGGGTCCTGTGGTTTTACTAAGGAGAAGCTTGGGGTAGCACAGCAGTAATTCCTACAGACTGGGCCTGTGGGAATGTTGAGATGTCAGGTGCTGGTACCACCTGGAGCCCTGTGTGCTTAGGTAATGCTTCAACTCCAGGAAGGTGGTTCTCAACTTTATACATGACTCTTAACTTAGCAGGCATGGCCAAGAGGAGGATGCTCTCTTCTCTCATGGAGGATTTTAAGAGCTAAGAACTGGGGGGCTTCAGAGATGGCTCAGTGGTTAAGAGCACTGACTGCTCTTCTAGAGGACCTGGGTTCAATTCCCAGCACCCACGTGGCAGCTCACAACTGTCTGTGACTCCATTTCCAGGGGACCCAATATCCTCACATAGACATACATGCAAGCAAAACACCAATGCACATAAAATAAAGACAAATAAATCTTCTTTTCTAAAAAGAAAAGAAGAAGAGCTAAGAACTGATCATAAGGAACCTCAGCCAAAGAGAAGTTTAAGATTCATAGGAAATGGAATTTTGACCTGAAAGGAAATGATTATCTCAGAGACTGGCTGGGTGTTACATGCAGCTAGCTGGTGCTGTCGCCCTGGGAAAGGCGAATGGGCAGGGAGTCTTGTGTTCTCCCTTGCGTCCCTTCCTTCACCCTGCTGACGTCTTGCTGGCAGGTGCTCCAGCACTCCCTGGAGTCCACCCCTGCAGAGGTAGCTGTTAAGGTCTTTGTGGGCCTGCCCTTACTAACCTTAGCCTCCACCAAGGGAAAAATGGTTGCTGGTGCTCCTGAGAGCAGGCACGTGGGACCTGGTGGCTCTGAGCTTACGTCTGAAAAGCAGTGATGTCATGAAATGTTCTATTGTCCCGGGAACACTTCTCACCCCTTCCCTGGTGGGGGTGGGGTCAGCGGTCTCTTGCCTGCCCTGCAGCTGTCTCGGTGCCTTTCTCTGGACTCTCCCTTCTGTGGTCAGCCTTCTCTGAAGGGTCACCTTCATCCCCTGACCCGACTGGCCGCCTTATCTCCCCTGGCCCAGGAGTCCCCCCTTAACTGGCCCTGCCTCTGCCACCCTACATGTTGAAATGTCTGTAATCACCAAACTTCACCTGGCTCTTAAGACTGTGCCCTGCCTACCCCACCCTCAGCTCAGGTAACAATGCACATTCAGGCCACCTGCCTTTGCCCGGCTTGACCAGTCCCAGGCCTCTGTGCATTGATGGATTCTGCCAAGGAGGGTAGATGGAAGGCTAACAGCTACGTCACAGTGACTCTTCTCACTCAGGTGTCCTTAAACAGTGGGCTTCAGGAACACCTGCTCTTCAGAAAATGGCAGAATCATTGTGAGGACAGGGGGGTCGGGGCCGGAAGGACAGCTGTCTGAGGATGAGATGTAGCTGCTTAGCACCTACACAGCAAGCTGCTGCTCACCTGAACCACCGTGGCTCCCATTTCTTCAGCTGATGCTGTCTGCAGAGAGCTCTTTCCTGAGACACTTAAAACTGAAAGGATTGGCAGCCAGCCTGGGACAGCTATACTCAGGGCTCCAGGGATGGGGGTGGCTCGGATAGACTCCGAGAGGTAAGAGGGGTGCATGCCAGTGTAGGGCTGTCATGGGGCTAAGATTTATAGCAGCTGCTCTGGAGCCCCAGAGCAAGCGTGGACCCTCATTCCCTAGAGATCACCAGCCAGACTCCCTGGATTGAGAGTCTGAGATGCACTGAGACTCCACCAGATGGCAGGCAAAGTGGATGCTGCCTGGGCCAAGAAGAGTCTGCTGTCCCTCCAGCAATCATGCAAAGGGCACGGGCCCACTCTGGCACTCAGTGTCTCACCCCAGCTGGACAGAGGGCCCTGCATCACCCAGCTGCACTCCAGTGCCTGGAGCTGCCCTCGTGCAAGGGCAGTGAGAACCCACTCGGGGCACCATTGGCAACTGTAACCTGTTGTGATGTCGTGTGTGGCCTCTCCCTCACTGCAGATCCTGTCTGGTCAGGTTTGCTTTTGGCTGTCACGAAAAGATGGTTCTCAAGACTTGAGAACCAAGTCTGGCAGATGGCCGCCAGGCTCTTGTGCCTGAAGCAAGAGGCAAAGCCACACACCTGTGGTATCTGTCAGTGAATGGAAAGCGCCCACAAAGAGAAGTGTCAGGTGGGGGCAGGAGGATGCCCATGTTGAGATCTCACCTCCACACCTAGGCCTAGATTGTATGGGCTCTTTCAAGGCTACAGCCTTCCATGGGGTGTCTGCTTGGCCCCAATATTGTCAATTCTGAGTCTGTTATCACCTTGCTGATGGCTAAGTGCCTTCAACATCCTAGTCCATCGTCGGGGAAACTGGGTTCCTAGCTAGAGATGGTGACTATGGCATGAGAGAGAGACAGAGACAGAGACAGAGAGATTAGACTGTCTCTGTCCGTGCACATGTATGTACATGTGTATTTAGTGTACAGTACACAGACACTCAGCATTTTGAGCTGAGTTCATAAACACTTTGTTTGCCCATACTTATAAGTCCTAAGCCATTTATCTGTGAGGCTTCCAGAACCTGACCTTAAATGTTGGGATTTTCTCCCCTAACAAAAGCCCCACTTGTAGTCAGTGACTTGTGTTCACTGTGCCCACTGTCCATGGGGGACATGCATCTGGGGCTGCTGCTGGTAGCCTGAGAATGCCAGCCTAGCAGGAGGAACTTCCTGTGGGCACTGCCCACTGCCTTCCAGAAGGTACTTTCTACCTTTGTTCAGGGCTACAGCAGGCATCTGCCCGCATAGACCTCTGTGCTCGACCTCCAGGGTGTGTGGCCTCAGCCAGGTGCTGCCTTTACAGAGTACTGATGTCCCGGCCCCTCTGGCCCGGGATAGCTTCTGCTCTGACTGTGCATTCCATCTCACTGAACCAGCTGTGGCTGCTGTGATGAGAGACGGTGCCCTGTTGGCGTGACCCCTCATGAGCATGCTGTTCTGTGCCACATCCTGAGCAGTCTGAAGATGGGAGGCCGTTCCTTTGAGTATGTGGCAGGGTGTGGCATTTTGACAAAGTCAGATTCTCTGACTTAAAAGTTTATGGTTTTGGACTTGGGTGACTCAGTGGTCGAGTGCTTGCTTGATATGCACAGGCCCTCAGTTCCACGAGTAGTCACATAAACAGCTAAAGCCTAGGACTTATCATGTGCTCTCCTTGAAGTCTCTTCATACCCCTGCCATAGTTAGGAAAGATTACCTGATCAGATCCGTGGTGAGGGAAAAAACAAACAAACCCCTTATCTTGTCCTAGTCTATCTTGGAGACAGAGGACAGACATGTTTTCTGTGGTCAGTGGTACCGTGTTGTTACTTTGAAGGGGCCATCCCTGTCGGCCTGCTAAAGCTCCTGAGAGCTACATCAGCTGGCATCCTCTGGGCACTGGAGCCTGCCTGACAGGAGCACTAGGGTGGTCACTCATGACTCCTTGCTGTGGCTTCCCTGGCCTTTCTAAACTCAAGGATCCTTGAGGATACAGGCCCCTAAAACAGCAGCTGCCTTAGGTCTCAGATCCTCAAGAGCATATCCAGATATCAGCCTGCCACCGTTTATAATCTCAGGAGGACTCTGGGAGGAGGAGAGGGCGGGAGTGGTGTATTCTGGATCTAGGCGGATCCTAACAGCTCAGGGCTGTGAGTTGAGGCTTTCTTCTCCAGATAGTGGCCCTGTGCACAATCCCATTTGAAGTGAGAGGAATGGGCCTCTGGATCCTTCAGAAGGGAACCTTCTGTAGAAGACGAACACTCACTACATGGCAGGGGCTCCCAAGCCTGGTTTTCGTGCTGGAGACCTCTGCCTCCTCCCCTCTCCTGGAGCCTAGTTAGTCCCATAGCGCACAGCCCTCCGCACTGTGCATCATAGCCAGTGTCCCACGTATCTGCCTCCCGGTAGCCCAGCTTCCTGAGTCCCGCAGCTTGGGCAGGCAGTGAGGCTCTGGAGGAACACTGCCTGTCCTTCCCCCACTGTGGACAGGGCTCCCTCTAAAGTTATTCCACCTTCACAGGTCCCTCCGAGTGGAGACTCATGGGGCTCCCCAAGCCTGACCCCTCACTGTTGAAGAGGTGAATGCTCCTCCGTGCGCTGAGCCTGCTTTGTTGGCTCTGATGCATATTTCATGTGCCTTGGCTCTCCAGCTGGCTCCTGCTGCAAGCCCTGTGAGTGCATCAGGCTTTGTCTCTTTATTTATTTATTTTTTATTTTCTCAAATTGCTCGCTTACATGAGAGCCAAACACCAACCAGCGACAATAGGGGTCTATCAACAGATAAATGGCTGCACAGCTGTGGATAATGCCACCCTGTAAGCAGGGCCTTTACACAGAACTGCTTCTCTTGCTGAGGATGCAGCAGTGATAAGGGTGGGCTGGGGGCAGCAAACTTGCTTCTCTAAAAAAATTAATTAGCTCATCACTTCTCCACACACAGGCCGTCACTCTGGTCAGCAGACTGCTCTGTTGTGCCTTCTCTTGCTCTGCTTCCTTTCCCACCTCCTCATCTCTGCCTCTGTCCTGATGTGCCAACTGCTGCACCTGCCTCACATGGAGGGGTCAAACACGGGCATCCTTTACCTAACAGCTCTTGCTTCAGATGGGGATGACCACTGCCAGGCTGTGTGTCCTGTGAGATGGGTGTACTTACCCTCTCTATACAGGGCTACTTAGGAGACAGCTGATCCCAAGTGAGGAATCTTCAAACCAAAAGGCAGGTCACTTGCAACCAGCTTAGATGGCAGGCAGCTTAGCTTCTCAGCGCCCCCCCCCCCATGTTTAT